GATTTTTAAAACATGTTGATTTATTGAACTCAAACCCGACCCATTTCGGGTTCGGGTTGACCCGAACCCGAATTTTTTCGGGTCGGGTTCGGGTCTTGTTTTGGATCGTGTCAAAAATTGACACCTCTATTTGGGATGGCTTTTTTATTATTTTTTTAAAGTAATTTTTTAATACAAAAATAAAAAATTTTATGTTAAAATTACTTTGAGAAGCATTAAAAAAGCCATCAATCTATATCTTTATTATATAGTGACATATGAAGAGTTATACAGTTAAACAACAAAAGAAAAAGAAAAAAAGAAGATTAAGAAAAGCCAGATTAATTGTTTAAACACTTTCTTTTGCATATTTTGGCTATATTAAGTAAAACACTATCCTAAGAGCCGAATGCGTTCACATAAGTAGTTCTCCCTCATACAGCAAAATTAACAGCTACGGTTTTGTTTGGGAAGACTTTCTTAGTGCTTCTTAAAATAGTTTTCTAACATATAAATTTAATTTTTGATACTAAAAAATTACTTTAAGAAACAGTAAGAAAGTAATCTTAAAAGAAGCCTATATTTCTCTTTAAAAAATTAAATAAAAATTAACATGACTATATGTTAAATGGATTAATATATAAAATACATTAGACTTTTCTCATCACGAAGAGTAGCAATATCAATAAATAACTCGATTTAAAAAATTAGGATTCGGATTCTTGATCTGATTAATTTTTTGATTGAATTATGTTGATTGGAAAATTCAAAATGGATCAAGCTAAATAGGTTGAATTCCGATGAAATGTATCATGTTGATATAAAAATATATATTATATGATAAATAAGTCGAATTCGAGTCAATTCGATTTAGATTGATCAAATTCAGATCAAATATATCATTTACATACTATAATATACTACTTCATTTACATATTTAACATCTAAAATTTTAATATTACATACATATCATTCATAGTTCACTTATATGAGTGGTGTAAATGAAATATATGAGTGATAGGAAGAAAATATGAATAAAATATTTAATATTAAAATATATAAATTGATACATATGTAATATTAAAATTTTATATATTCTATTATGTAACTAGGATAGCTTAAAATGGTATTTATGTAAATCCTCTAATATTTTAATTTTTAACTCGTATAATGAATAAAAAAAATTCAGATCCACCAACCTGAAGAGATAGGAATTGCTGGTGAGAATCGAAGATAAACCCTAGAAGAATAGCATAACTTATCT